GAGTGGGGGTGGGGAGAGGGGGGATTTCAGCTCCATCGTGGAATCTAGAGAAGCCCTAGGGTTCTATCACTGGCGTTGAGCCTTAGAAGGTGGGTTTTCAAAACTGCAAGGCGTGACCTTTCCCGTCTCAAAAAGCGTGAAATCCTGACAGGGTGCCGTCTGTTCTAGGTTCTGGGAGAGAGGTTTCTGCTTTCGAAGTTTCTGTTCCGTTCCTCTCTGCTTTTAGTCGTTCCAGGACTAGGTAAAGGTTTAAAAATCATTAAGGCTAAGGGAAAGACTGTTGTGTCGTTCGTGTTGAGCACTGTATTATTTTCTGCATTTGGGAATGTGCGAGTTTCTCAGGTTTGTTTTCATTGCCTTTTACAAAAAAAGCCCGTACTAGGGAGACCCCTTGGGAAAAGAAAAGGACAAGGCTTATTAATGGTATGCCAGGTTTGGTTTTTGAATTTCCTGAAGGGCAGGAGATACATCCTTGTAGCATTTCGCTTGGTTTTCAGAAGAGTAGAAATAGTAGAATAAGCGTATGTCTTTGCTGGAAGTCCCCTTGTATTCATTTAAATTATCCCTTCGGGATTAACCGAGCCCCCTTTGATTTGGATTTGGAATAGATCCAGTTTTCCTAATTGGAGCCATCATCTTGTAATTGCTTGTAATTCTTCTCTGGGTTATCGAATCTATGGCAAGCTTATAGAACAGCAGGAATAGTTTTTTCCGTCGTCTTGATTAAGACAGTTTTAATGTAAATGTTATGGCCTTCCTTGGAAATGGGAACATTTGCAGAATAGCACAAGTTTAAATTATGGGCCCCCCTGGAATTTTGTAAAGCCTTTCCCGCCCCAGCTCATCTACAAGAACTGGGCCCTCCCGATCCTTACACTGAAGAAGCAAGGGCTTCTGGGATGGTAGCTTTGCCTTTACAAACTCATGCTCATGTTTGCTTAAGAAGAGTACGTATTAACAAGGCATTTGCCTTTTATGTGGTGAGAATATAGTGTTTTCCCATTTTTGGTTACATAAGGTTCCAATCAAGTCTTTACGTTCAGTCTTTAAAAATGCTTATTTAACATTTTTAAGGGCAAATATAATCTTTATGCAACAGGAAATTGGTCAGATAGGCCCTGATTTGTGCAAATCACCTCACAGTAAGTACACAGTCTAAGACAACCATATAGATTCTATAACCATATATGGTTTTTGAAATTCTAGGCCACCATTCCCATATTTAATTTTCAGAAAAGGAAAAATTTTTTTCAACCAAGTCTAGATTTTTGAGTGAAACTAAGAAAAATTGTGTAAGATTTGAATTGATGAAATTCCTCTTGTATAATAGCAGTGCGTTGGAGATTAAATATATATTAAATGAATGGACTGCTAAAACAAGATAATTATTTTTTACTGGAAGTATTAAACTGGAAATGTTTAAGAGGAAATAGATTTTGGGTCACAAAGATCAACAAGAAAGCATTTATTTGCACTATTGTGTTATAATGTTAATATGGTATTCATTCTGTGCCCAAGTAACAATAGAAAAAATAGCATATTTTTATAATACAACTTAAGTTCTTTTTCTGTGAGGAGTAGAATACAGAGAGAAGCATATTGACAGGAAATGAGCTTTAAGTTTCTCTCTGGACAAAAGGGTTAAATGGCGTATCTTTTACCTGGCTTTTTGAAAATCTGTTGCCCTCTAAAACTGGAAGAAAAAAAGATGAAAGATATTTCAGGAATGAACAGAAATCGGATCAAATTCTCTTGCTAGGTGTGCTTATAACTTTTACTGATATCCATTTGAAAATTTGTAAATCAAGTTTTCATCTAAGAAATTTACCTTCACCTCTAAAGTTTGAGCATTAAAAAAGTTTGTTGAAGGCCTGGAAGGTAGTGTCCTGCGACTGAAGCCTGTTTTCCCACACTCCACCTCCTAGTTCCCTTCTTCCCCTCGCCTCTCCCCCCCCCCCCCCCCTCTGGTGCCAGTGACTTTGGCTTTTATAACCTTGTGGGAGTTGAACCAAATGTTCCTTCTTGCTTGAACTCTAGGCCTTATCTATTTGGCTGCTTTCCCCAACTTTTGCCTACTGAACTTTTTTTTTGGTTAATTGAACTATCTAGTTGTTTGGATTTGGGATAAAAGGGAGTAGACTATAATAATTTTCTCTTAAAAGATCTTTTCTTTTAGCTCCTGTGGAACATGAGCAGAGAAAGGTTCTTTTTTGGTTAGTGGTGTACTTAATTAAGCAGAATATATGACTGTTAGTTTATTCAACAAACATTTGCTGAGTTACCTCCTCTGTTGGAGGCTCTGTGCTGGGTGTGGGGGTGTATGGTTGATAAGAAATGGCTTCTGCCTTTCTGGTGCAGTTATGACAATGAAAAATCGACAATGAATCCGTTGTGAATAATCAAGAATTGTCTGGAGTTTTTGGACATACACACGGCAACCTTCTATACAGTAAATCTGCTTCAACCATGCAAACAGTGGGGGCGTTTCTTTCCGGTCACTTATTCACTGCATCGTATGTATCTTGCCTTCTCAATGAAGACATGTGTTTTCTTTTTTTTTTTTTTTTCATTTTGGGAGATCATATGGTTTATAAGTCATGTTAGGGTCTATGGCCTTTTCTTTTTTTAAAAAATTAAGTTTTATGTAAACTAAGACATAGCCGATTTCTTGATGTTTATATTCAGCTTTGTGTTACCGTATACAGTAGGGAGAAGTGGATGGCTGGCATCCCTTCCTGTGACTTCATGCATCTCTGGTGGCAAATTGGGCCTCCCCAAAATATTTTTCTGGGGTTGACTTTGAATTATGGACAATAATGGATGATGGAGCCCAGAAGAGTGGGGATAGTCCTAAATAGTAGCTGGAATAAACCTTTCATCTTCTGCAGGGCTACTTCCTGAGTGCCTGGAGAAATTCCCTCTTTATGGATAGTGCCACCCCGGTGATTTTCAGCCAGGGCGATTTTGCCCCCCAGGGGTCACTCAACAATTTTTGCCAGATGCGGTCTACTGGCATTCAGTTGGTTGAGGCAGGTATGCTGCTTAAATATCCAACAACACATAGGGCAGTGCCCGGCGGCAAATAATTATCTAGCCTGAAATGTCGATAATGCTGAGGTTGATGTAATTTCCTCTACAAAATGTAGTAGAACATAATTCCAGGAGAATGGAGAACAATAACAGTGTCTTGAGGTGACTGAGTAGTTGGCAGAGCTCACTTTATTAGTCTCAAAAATGACTAGTTCCAGCTGGGTGCTGTGGTTCATGCCTATGATCCCAGCACTTCGGGAGGCTGAGGCAGGCGGATCACGAGCTCCGGAGGCAAAGGTTGCTGTGAGCTGAGATTGCACCACTGCACTCCAGCCTGGGTGACAGAGCGAGACCCTGTCTCTAAATAAATAAATAAGACTAGTTGCTGCATACTAACCTGAAGAATTAAAGAAAATAACAGCCACCATTTATGGCACTTACTCTGTGCCAGAGGACTTGTATACATTATATATTCTCTTCGTTTTGTAAATGAGGAACCACGCTCAGAGAGGTAAAGGAACTTGCCCAGGGCCTCAGCTGGTCAAGGTTAGAAATAGAAATCAGAATTAAGATTATTACTCCTTTGAAGTTCATGGTTTTAAGCACAACTACGTATTATCTCCCTTGTGGCACACATCAGTCAAAATCTTAACAAAATAAAAATTACTATATGTCTTATATACCATTGGGTTTGCCTGAGAGTAATTACAACCATGAATATTAAATGTGATTATACTTGGAGTAAGTGACAAGGAGTAGTGGGAAAAGGGAACCAACATTAATTGAACACCTACTAAAATTTCAGGAAGCACACAATTAAATATACACCCATTGTCTAATTTGATCCTCACAGCAACTCTGCAGTTATGATGCACATTTCACAGATGAGAGTGGGAGATGTTTGGTAAGTAACTTGTCTAAGATTGCACAACTAATAAGCAGCAGGGTTGGGATTTGAAATGATGTCCCACAACTAAGTCACTCTTTGCTGCTTACTCTAAAGTTTGGAAGTAAGTTGAGCTTCTTGGAGAGAGGAGGGTAGCTGGTCCTAGGTAAAATGTAATTTCAGGCTGGGCACAGTGGCTCACGCCTGTAATCCCAGCACTTTGGGAGGCGAAGGTGGGTGGATCACCTGAGGTCAGGAGTTCAAGACCAACCTGGCCAACCCTGTCATGGCTAAAACACAAAAATTAGCCGGGTGTGGTAGCGGGTGCTTATTATCCCAGCTACTCTGGAGGCTGAGGCAGGGAAAATTGCATGAACCAGGAGGCAGAGGTTGCAGTGAGCCGAGA